CACTACTTACACACAGTCGTTCAGTGAGGAAGAGCCTCAGGGCCATTGGGCTTTATTAGGTGTTCTACCTGACATTTTATTGAAGAAAAAAATCTATTTACTTTTGTGTGGCCATACAATTATTTAAAATAGTGTATACCGAAACCAGCATATGGCATAATGGTTACATCGCTGGACTCCCACGTAGTCGACTGCAGTTCAAGTCCTGGACCTGGTGTCTTGAAACTCATGCTGTGTGTGTGTGTGTGTGTGTGTGTGTGTGTGTGTGCGTGCCCCCAAGGTCCCAAGAGGAGAATGGAAGAGAAGGCAGTATGGCCATCCCCTCTGGGGGGTGATTTCTTGCTTTCTGTCTCTCTGTCTCTGTCTCTCCAGTGAGCTCATGCACTGTAAAGCAAAAAAATCTCTCTTCAAAAAAAAAAAGAGTAGGGACCAGCAGTTAGCATAATGGCTATGTTGCTGGACTCCCACGTAGTCGACCGTGGTTCGAGTACCGGACCTGGTACCTTAAACTCACGCCAGGCACGTGTGCATGCATGCCCAAGATCCTGAGAGAATGGAGGAGAAGGGATTGCGGCATGGCCATCCCCCCTTGGGGGTGATTTCTCGCTTTCTATCTCTCTGTCTCTCTCTGTCTGTCTTCACGTGCCCTATAGCAAAAACCTCTCCCCCCCAAAAAAGTATATATTTTCTACACTTTTTAAAGTTAGTAGGTAACTAGTTTCACATTTTTTCTAAAACTTGTTCTAAATTTTTTGAAATAAATATAATTAATTCAGATTGGTGAAAATAATCAGATTAAATAAATATAGATTAAAAGATATAAAGCCTTCATTTATAACTTTGAATTTAGTCAAGTCCATGGCTTAAAATGGTGACTTCTTGCTGTCTCTTGTCGTACTTCGTGTCTTAGTTTTAGTTCCAGAGATGGCGACTCTGAGCAAGTGATTGATTTGGGATGTGATCCCAGGAAACACTGGTTAAGGAGTAGAAAAGTGCCCTAGGGAAAAGGCTCCAGCCCGGGGCAAGTTCAGTGAGCAGCTTAAATGAGCTATGGACACCTCCGTGGGACTGGGGAAAGGAGCCCCT